ATAAGTAGTGCTTAAACAGGATAAAACTACAACTTTCCCTTCTGTTGATAAAGGGCGCAGCCATCTTCGATTCTGAACTCGGGATCCTCTGCGTTATCCGAGATCATTCTCGGATCTCCGAGAAACGGGAGCGCGCATGTCGTCACTTCCGGCTTTGAAACTCGGAATCCAACTCGGAATCCGAGTTCCCAGGGCAAATGGAACGCACCATTAGTTGATCAAGTTTTAGTCTGTGTGTATCTTCATTTTTTTATCGATTAAAAAATCAAGATAGTTTTATCGCTCAGCACTAATCACTATGTAATAACTGATTAAAATATAAAAAATTTAAGAGCAAAAAACCTAAATTTCAAAATTATTTTTTTTACTATGTAGCCATGACATAACCTTTGATGCATGCAAAGTTGAGTGATCCCCTAAGTGTGCACTTACAGTGGACCGATTTGCACACCTCACTCACCTCTAATGAACGCAGGCATTTATTAGCCATATTAGTCACGTGGACCTTTTCAATAGTATGGCAAGTACAGGTGTCTGCAATGACATTAATGAAGCTTCCATTAAATTTCATTGTAGCATATTTGTGACCTTAATGTTATTACTTACACCTGTGCTTGTTATACTATTTCATGTCAGTGTGGCTGCCATTAGAAAGGCCCATTAGTGATATGAAACCATGTGAAGCTACCTTTTACGTCAGGATATCTCAGCAACACCTTAAAAACCAAAGACCAAATTTTCTGGAGATGTTCATGATATTATGAGCTAGCTTTTGTAAGGAATTGAGCAATTTTGAAATATAGGTTTTTTTTTTTTTTTTTTTTTTTTAATTATAAATTATTTAATCAGTTATTACATAGTAATTTATTCAAATGTGGATGGCATGTTATTTGTTCAATCTATAGAGCTGGACAATAACTTTAAAACAATATAAGGACCACTTCTGTACAACTTAAGGTAAATATAGCCTGTTAAAAATTTGTTCCGACATTTGTTCCACATCGAAAGTGTGGTGATTTAGCATGGATTGACCCATCCAGCTGCATAAAAGGAATGAACCCCCCCCCCCTGAAAAAAATGAATCATCAACCGAGCAACTAATCTAATGTACCACAAGTGTTGCTGACAGAAATAGGCTAAACTGGTTAGATATGCGATCTTGATCTTTATCTGAAAATTTGGTGTTTTGGTCTTGATTTCTGCACTTTGCATTACCAGATCAAAAATGTATACGTCTGTCGGGCTTTTAAAGTCCTAGCGGACACTTTCATTAGTAAATTCATGAGCTGGAAAGGCAGAGGAGATTATTATGGTTACTAAAAATAACTTTTGTATATCTTATTTCTGTCCTACTTGTGTATGTTAGATGTTGGCTGATGGAACGTATCTATATCTGTGTCAGAGTGTAAAGGCTGTCGGACGGTGCCTGCCTCTGCAAGCCAGTTGCCGTTTTTCAAGCAGAGATGCACGGTGCGTCATTGGGTGGAATGCCACTCCACTAAAGGTAGATCTGATGGACATTTTCTGCAAGTGTATAAGGTGGCATACTGTTGTAGCTATTTTCTCATTGCCTTGTATGCTTCTTTAAGAACATAAATTTACAAACGAGAGGAGGCCATCCGGCCCATCAAGCTTGTTTGGGGAGAACTTAACTAATAGCTCAGTTGTTAAAATCTTATCTAGCTCTGATTTAAAGGAACCCAGGGTTTTAGCTTCCGCTGCATTTGCAGGAAGACTATTCCATACTCTAACTACACGCTGTGTAAAGAAGTGCTTCCTCAAATTCGTTTTAAAATGTTCTCCCACTACTTTCCACTTATGGCCACAGGTTCTAGTATTTAAACTAATATTGAATTAACCATTTCGCTGAACAGCATCCAGACCTATTAGAATGTTAAATTACCTGGATCATGTCCCCCCTTAGTCTCTTTTCTCCAGGTTAAACAAATTCAGCTCAGCTAACCTCTCCTCATAAGACATTCCTCTAAGACCACGAATCATTCTCGTAGCCCTCCGTTGCACCTTTTCCAAGGCAGCAATGTCCTTCTTGAGGTATGGTGACCAAACCTGCACACAGTATTCTAGGTGGGGTCTTGCCAAGGAATTATATAATCGTAGCATCACTTCCCTTGACTTAAACTCCACACACCTAGAGATGTAACCCAACATTCTATTGGCCTTTTTTATTGCTTCCCCACACTGACAAGAGTGGGATATGGAAGCATCAACATACACACCGAGATCTTTCTCGTAATCAGCTACCTTTATTTCAGTGGAACCCATAAAATCTGTACTTTATACTTCTGCTCCCTGCATGGAGTACCTTACATTTATCTACGTTAAATTTCATCTGCCAGGTATCAGCTCAGTCACTAATTAAATCCAGATCCCGTTGTAACCTCTCCGCTGCTAGATCAGTATCTGCTACACCACCCACCTTGGTGTCATCTGCAAATTTAACCAGTTTATTATATGTAATATACTGGCATGGCAGAGGATGGTGGAAATTACAAATAGCTTTGAGTGCACTAATGCTGGATTGGAAAGCATGCAGAACGGTCAATTTTCAGTGCAGCTACGGACGGATCATGTTGGTGTGCCCAGAGACGGCCGGCCTGGAGCGATGCAGCACCACAATAGGGTCGCGGACGGAGCGCAGGACTGTTATCGTTGTCTGGGAAAGGGGCATAGCCCACAGAACTGTCGTTTCGAGGATTTTCAGTGTCATGGTTGTGGGGAAAAACTGGACATTTGGAACGTGCTTGTAAGGATAAGAGCGACGCCCGAGGCAGTCCACGGGTTTGAGCTACAGTGAATTCGTCAGGCCGAGCGTCGCGAGCGAGGTGGATTGGAGGCAAACTTTCTTGAGAGAAAAATGGAGTCATGAACAACACTAAAAGACTGAGGATGCAGAAAGTTGGACTGACATGAGACTGCTAACTGTAAAGACTGGTTGTGAGCATGTAAAACCTTATCGAGTGATGATAAAATGTAACAGTGTCACCGGCAGAATTATTTATTAGGTGACAATTTCAGACCAGGATTACATTGGCGAATCCAAACTTTGCTGAAGGAATGCGTCAGAAACAGGGCTCTATAGGAAAGTTGTAAGGATGCCAAGACTCGCAGTAAATCCTTCCTGCTGAACCAAAAGGTGCTGGTTCGTAACAAAGGGGGAGGCGGAAGTGTCAGGTGGGTACCCGGGTGTATTGTGAAGGAACTGGGTCCTGTTACATTTTTGGTAAAAATATATGGGAAACTACTCTGTTCCAATTCAGTAGCAAGCAACTGGTCAATATGTCTCTTGTGCAAAGTGTCTGAGGGAATAGAAGGAATTTGGGCAGGTGAATCTGTGGAAACAGGAAATTGAAATGTCTGTTCCTGTGTCACCCATTCTTGTGTGGAAATGCCTGTGAGCGTTTCAGGAACACACGAGGTAGATGGACAGCAAGAATCTGAGGGTGATGCCACTCCCTCAGCGCCTGAAGTCAAGAAGAACAGTTAGGCCTCCAGATAGATTAAATCTGTGAAAGGGAAAAAAAATTAAATTAAATTGTTTCAGATTTAAGGGTAGGAGTGTGGTGTACTGTATGTGTGCACACACACAAGATTAAAAAAGGGGAATTTGAAAACTGTTAATTGGTTGACCTCTGACCTGTTTGGTAATTGGCTGAAATGGGGTGGTATATAGATCTACCCACCAACAGAGCGAAAACGGGGTGCCGAGAAGAGAGCACTAGGTGAATTGTTACCTGTGTAAGCGTATTGCAAAACTAATAAAGGAACCTGTTGTTCGAACCTTGGCTCTGGGAATTCTCATTTAGGCAAGTGCAAGACACAACAGTTTTATGATTAAACCATCCTGAAGTACACCTCAATCAAAATACTTTAATTGGTGCAACCCGGACATTATGATTTGAAGTGTCTTTCTGAGCGTGATTGAGTATTGTTCTGCTGACATTACGTTACAGGTTTTTCTTGAACTTGGGAGGCTGCTTCGAAAGTGACCTTTTCTTTTTTTCTTCTTTTTAAACACCTCCCTGAGGTAACCACAAAAAAGAAGGGCACATAGCCAAGAACAACTCGTATTGCTCTGTCGGCTGTTATCTATCCAAACAAGTCTCTGGAAAGTTTGGCTTGACGCAAAGTTGTCACTACTTCTTTATTTTTCAGCAAAAATGTAAATGTTTTCCAGGTCAGAATGGCTTTGGTATTTGGGCTAAATGTCCATATTATGCGTTACTTTAGCACTTAAGTCTATTTTAATGAAAATCAATCACTGCCTCCTTTCCTGATTTTAATCAGTTTGTATGAAATTGGTGTTTCTGCTAATTGTTTGAGATATATTTTATTGTAATACTTATGAACCTAAAAGTGGTAGGATTATTTAGGTAGTTTAATGCATGTGTATGCTTTTTTTTTTTGATGCACCTTATAAGCTGAAGAAAGCCAGTGGAAAGGAATGTGAAATGCTTTATAGTTTGGTTACAGTAATATCAGTAAGTACCGGACTCAAAATTGGCTCAGGTTAGGTTTGATAAAGTCCCAAATAGACGCTATATTTCAAGCCTCTTTAATTGGTTTTGAGATGACTATTGTGGTAGCTCTTAGCCTGATGAGTGGCAACCTCACTTCATTCCCATGGTGTGTTTCCACCATTGTCATTTTTTTTTCACTGGGACTTCAGTACAAATCTGGAAAACCTAAATTAAGCTTTACTTTGGTATCTAGTTTAGTGGGTTTTTGTAGGCTTCTATCAGAAAATTGAGGATGAAATTTACCAACGTTGAAACTATTGAAAAATCATCACATTTTGATGGATAACTTCAGTGCATTTTTATTTTTTAAAATTTATTTTAAATTTTAATTTTTAATTTCTGATAAGGATACTAGGTACCAATTTTTATGTGGTGATTGGTTATTTGTTCTGATAAGCTGAATCTAACAATAAAATTATAATGTAAAGACATTATTAAACTTTTTTTTTTTCTTTCTTCTAGTGAATAATCCCATACCGTCCAACCTAAGGTCTGAGTCTAAGAAGGCTGCCAAAATCCTGCGGGAATTCACAGAGATCTCCAACCGAACTGGACCTGACAAGCTCATTCCTCGTACGTAATTGGCGGCCTTATCGTGTTCGCTGTGAATGGGTTAATAGGCAGCGTCCTCTGTCACCGACTCGGTGCTAATGTGGCCGTCTGTCACCGGGATTGCGCCCATTCCTGGCATACGATGGGGAGCATTTCTGTCATCTGATGTCATGCTTGCATGTTGATGAGACTGCTCTCTCCCAAGGATCTGTCCTTGCAGGTTGTTTTGGTTGCTAAAGTTGGGCCTGGCAATACCTGTTCTCTCTTTCTCCCAATAACGCATGTACGAGCCCCACAGCTGTGTTTTCTCTTTGTGCATTCTATCCAACTGTCTAGTCTGGAAATTATGTTGATAACTTAATGGTGAATGTGAGACGACAGGCCTTGTCTATGCCTGACTAAAGATTCCCAACAATAGTGTCTGAATATGTAGGTGCAGGTATAGATATGTACTGCCCGTTAAAGAATATGCTGTTACTGTAATAGTTTAAGAATGTGGTTATAGCATGTTTAGTTAAAAATGTAATGAGAGGATATGGATGGTCTTTATACTCATTAGATTTTCCCTGGATGACTTTGTGATCTGCTCCTTGCTGTTTCTCCTGAAGCTCATGTGATCGCCAAAGCACAAGGTCTGGCCATCATATCTGTTATCAAGGCGGGGTTTATGATCACAGCGCGGGGTGGCAGCGGAATCGTGGTGGCTCGGCTCTCTGATGGACGTAAGTGAGCCGCCCACTTCCCCCCATGTAGTAAGTGTCTTGTGAACAAGGAAAGAGATGGGGTGCTGCAACAGGTGACTTGGCCTCCACAATCCCCCAACTTAAACCCTTTAGAGCTGCTTTGGGATGAGTTGCCTCAAAGACTAAGAGCAAGGTAGGCAACTTGTGCCCAGAACTTTCAGGGCAGTTGAAGCATTATGGGTGGCTGCTTCAGGAAGCTGGTTGAAAGAATGCCAAGAGTCTGCAGTGCTGTCATCGAAGCAAAATGGGGCAATTTGGAAGAGTCTAATTTGAGGAAAATTTAAATGTTGAACACTTCCCTTTGTCGTAATATTTGTTATATATTACTTCAAGGCTTATAAGGTGAATAACAGTTAAGAAATGCTGTGTGTCTGACAAGGGAGGGGTTAACATACAAATGATACTTTTTCTTTTTTTTTTTAAACACGTCATTTAGTTTCATTAATCAAGCTTTATACAAGTAACTACTGCCATTCCAGGTCCTTGCTATACACTTACCCATTTCTGCAGCATATCCAAAACCAACAAAAAATAAATGACTAAGAAATTCGGGAAAAAGTAGTAAGTCTTGGTGTTCAAAGCAATGGACTTGTGTGTTTTGGACACCACTTTGGTGGGAAATGGTCAGTTAATACTTAATGTAAAATATAGAAATTAAGTGATGTATCTTTTTAAAATGAATATCTCTAAAAAAATCATGGGAGTATCTTACTGTTGTCTGGCAGAGAAATGCCCAGACCTGGAAGAGTGTCAAAAGTCAGTCCTCTGCAAAACATTAGTCATTCAAGTGTGTGTGTGTGTGTGTGTGTGTGTTTACCTATCCTTATGGGGACACAATGTCCCCATAACGTGATAAATATCCATTTTTTTTCCCTTATGGGGACCGGTTTCCTGGTCCCCATAAGGGAAAACTCTATTTTATAAAAATCGGTGACTGCTATGAAAAAACTAAAAATGCAAAAACTCTTGTATTTTGTTAGGTTACTTATGGTTATGGTTAGGGCAGGGTAGGGGTTAAGGTTGTCA